ACCACCCCTCAGGTTAATCAATAGATTGAAAATTGACCTCATAGCCAATCCCTGACCCTTGGGGTAGGGCCACCTGGTAATCCGCTTGGGCCCACCTCCTCCCCGCTCGCAAGAGACCTTAAAAGATAGAACACAGAGCGAACACGCCATTCCTTCCTTTTACCAACAACCCCTCTACGTCTGCTTTTCCTCTCAAATCCAGCTCCCTGTACCAATTCCTTGACTCGCTTTACCTTAGTCTGCAGCTAAGGCAATCCACGTGTTCTCAGCTGGTCTGGTTACACATGTTTCTACCATTTTCTCCCCTCCTACCCTCCTTCCTGCTGGAAGCTTTAGGAGCCGCGCTACGCCTGAGGTAAATATATTTCCCCTCAACGATACAACCTGCTAATGCGACTGTGCTTTACCAAATCTAACTATTTTATTAGTTCTTGTGTGTCTGTATGTTATTGTGTGCTTCTGAATGATATCTAGTAAATCAAAGTAAATTTTACTTCTGTCTCTGTCTCTTCATTGAAACGTATTGGCGCAGCCCATCCTCCATAGACACTGACCAAAAATCCCTTTTAATACACTGTTCCAATTGTCTCTCCTAAAGAACAATTCGGCTAACAGGTGTGCACCAGAAGTGATGTTGTCACTTCGCTGGAAACACAGGGATACTCTGGTATTTGGGTAAAAACTCTATGGTGGAAGCCGTTTTTACCATAGAGTTTCTGCCCAGATACCAGAGTGCGGCAGGCAATGTTATGATGTCACTTCCAGTGTGTGCCGGAAGTGATATCACTGCATCACTGGCAACGAAGTTGAGACACCGGTGTAGGCCTTCCTCGCTGTTGGTGAGTCCACCCCCCAGCCAGCTGATCAGCAACAGGAGGGCTGGGGCCCAGGGCCGGGAGATGTCCCGTCCCTCGTGGGGGGGATAGCAACCCAAGGTGCCACAGTTCCAATCTCAATCTCCCATGTGACTTTCATCAGGTTCTGATGAAGGTATTGGACAAAGGCAACACTGAGTCTTGACATCTTATACCCCCAAAATCTTGTTGGTCTCTAAGGCACCTCTGGATTTGAATCTAGCTATTCTGAGATGACTTGTGGCCTGGCTCCACATTCGGAGGCACGAAACCCCTGAATCCCAGAGCCAGGCAACATCAGGGGAAGGCCTCGGCTTCAGTGCCCTGTAGTTGGCCTTCCAGAGGAACTGGTTGGCCACACTGGACTAGGTGGACCACTGGTCTGATGCAGCAGGGTTCTTGCCGCGATCACATCACCTGGAAGTGACATAATCGCGTCAGGCACGTTGGGGGCGGGGCCACAATCATCCGAGGGAAAACCATAGAGTTTTCCTTCGGATGATAGAGCCTCCCCCTGCAACGTGCCTGGTGCAATTATGTCACCTCTGGGTGGAGTCCCCCAGTGGCCCTCCAGAGGAACTGGTTGGCCCCTGTGTGAGACGGGACGCTGGACTAGATGGACCCTCACTGTTCTGATCCAGAAGGCCTCAGCTTCTCTACCCTGTTGCTGGCCCTCCAGAGGAAGTGGCTGGCCCCTGTGTGAGACGGGACGCTGGACTAGATGGACCCTCACTGTTCTGATCCAGAAGGCCTCAGCTTCTCTACCCTGTTGCTGGCCCTCCAGAGGAAGTGGCTGGCCCCTGTGTGAGACGGGACGCTGGACTAGATGGACCCTCACTGTTCTGATCCAGAAGGCCTCAGCTTCTCTACCCTGTTGCTGGCCCTCCAGAGGAAGTGGCTGGCCCCTGTGTGAGACGGGACGCTGGACTAGATGGACCCTCACTGTTCTGATCCAGAAGGCCTCAGCTTCTCTACCCTGTTGCTGGCCCTCCAGAGGAAGTGGCTGGCCCCTGTGTGAGACGGGACGCTGGACTAGATGGACCCTCACTGTTCTGATCCAGAAGGCCTCAGCTTCTCTACCCTGTTGCTGGCCCTCCAGAGGAAGTGGCTGGCCCCTGTGTGAGACGGGACGCTGGACTAGATGGACCCTCACTGTTCTGATCCAGAAGGCCTCAGCTTCTCTACCCTGTTGCTGGCCCTCCAGAGGAAGTGGCTGGCCCCTGTGTGAGACGGGACGCTGGACTAGATGGACCCTCACTGTTCTGATCCAGAAGGCCTCAGCTTCTCTACCCTGTTGCTGGCCCTCCAGAGGAAGTGGCTGGCCCCTGTGTGAGACGGGACGCTGGACTAGATGGACCCTCACTGTTCTGATCCAGAAGGCCTCAGCTTCTCTACCCTGTTGCTGGCCCTCCAGAGGAAGTGGCTGGCCCCTGTGTGAGACGGGACGCTGGACTAGATGGACCCTCACTGTTCTGATCCAGAAGGCCTCAGCTTCTCTACCCTGTTGCTGGCCCTCCAGAGGAAGTGGCTGGCCCCTGTGTGAGACGGGACGCTGGACTAGATGGACCCTCACTGTTCTGATCCAGAAGGCCTCAGCTTCTCTACCCTGTTGCTGGCCCTCCAGAGGAAGTGGCTGGCCCCTGTGTGAGACGGGACGCTGGACTAGATGGACCCTCACTGTTCTGATCCAGAAGGCCTCAGCTTCTCTACCCTGTTGCTGGCCCTCCAGAGGAAGTGGCTGGCCCCTGTGTGAGACGGGACGCTGGACTAGATGGACCCTCACTGTTCTGATCCAGAAGGCCTCAGCTAGGAAGAGGAAGAGGAAGAGGAAGAGGAGGAGGAGGAGGAGATTGGCTTTATACCCCGCCCTTCACTACCCAAAGTTGTCATGGACCACTGGTCTGATCCAGCAGGGCTCTTCTGATGTTCTTCTCGGTGGAAGGCCTCAGCCTCTCTGCCCTGTTGTTGGCCCTCCAGAGGAACTGGCTGGCCACTGTGTGAGACAGGAGTTTGGACTAGATGGACCCTCAGTGGTTTGATCCAGCAGGGCTCATCTGAGGTTCTTTCCCTTGTCCTCTCTCAAGCACCTGTCTTGTGTTTCTCTCCTGGGCAGGCCAAGATGTCGGAAGCGATGTCCAGGCGAATCAGAGGCTTCTTTGGAGCAGCTAATTTTTGGGCCATCGTCCTCTACAACATTCTTGCCCTCAACAGCTTGGACTTTGCCATCATTGTTTCTCGGAGAATTCTCCTAGCAGGTAAAGTTCCTCGCAAAACCCTTCCTTCCCCTCGGAATGGCTGCAAAGGGTATCTTCCTCTAGCCATACCAAGCTGGCAGACAGTCAGCGTGGCATATCTGTTATAGTGGCAGGCTAGAATCTGGGAGATAGACATGAGCAGAACAGCCGTGATATACAGAGCTTTTTTGGTAGAAAAAGCCCAGCAGGAACTCATTAGCATAATAGGCCACACCCAGCAGCAGAAACTATTAGCATATTAGGCCACGCCCCTGACAGCACAGCTCATTAGCACATTAGGCCACACCCCCACATGTTACCAGAAGTGTGGTCATCCAGCCACACCCACCTTTTGCTTCTTATTCTGTTTACCTTCTTTGTTGTCAAAACCCAGGGCCTTTTTTGTAGCAGGAACTCCTTTGCATGTTAGGCCACACACCCCTAATGTAGCCAATCCTAATGAGTGTCTGCTGTTAGGTGTGGCCTGTTATGCTAATGAGTTCCTGCTGGGCGTGGCCAGCCTGGAAGCCAGCCGGAACTCCGTTCCTGTGCGTTCCTGCCCAAAAATAGCCCTGGTGATATATTATGCCAAAAAAAAAATCCACAGCCTTATAAATTCTTGTCCGATATTCAGTTTACTGGAGATAATCAATTCCTCAGGAATCATTCATCAACACAACGGACTATGCCTATCAAGTCTCGTTTCATTCACAACTTTGTCAGAGTGTGTAGCATCGAAATTTCAATATAGTTAATTCATTTAACAAGCACTGTGGCCAGTTCTCTTAGAGGTAAGGTAAAGGTAAAGGTTTTCCTTTGCTCGAAAGCCAGTCGAATCTGACTCTATGGATGTGGTGCGCATCTCTGTTTCCAAGCCGAAGAGCCAGCGCTGTCCGAAGACGTTTCTGTGGTCATGTGGCCGGCATGACTAGACGCTGAGGCACAAGGAACGCTGTTACCTACCCACCGAAGCGGTACCTATTTATCTACTTGCAATCTCTTGCTTTCAAACTGCTGGGCTGGCAGGAGCTGGGGCCAGAGACAGGAGCTCACTCCGTCATGCGGCACACTCGGGTCTCGAACTGCCGAACTACCAACCTTCCGGTCTGCAGTTCTTCGTTTTCACCTGTCCTGTTGCATCCTTGATCTCCTTTTTCCACTGGCCACCTCATCCCTCACTCTCAGGAGACGGCCCACTTTATATTTGTCTTTTTTTTTGTCTTATCCTTCCTCTGAGGATCTCAGGATAGCAAGTGAGGGTCTGCCAGCTAGGGTTTGCCAGCTAAGGGAACATTTGGGAGTCCGGAGCATTTGGGGCGGGCAGAGACTTGGGGAAATTGTGTCATGGCATTGGCAGTGTTCCAGGAATGTTACAGTGTAACCAATCCTCCAAGAGCTTACAGTGGCCCCTGTGAGAAGAGCTCTGTAAGCTCTTGGAGGATTGGCTACATTAGGGGTGTGTCGCCTAATATGCAAAGGAGCTCCTGCTACAAAAAGATCCCTGGGTGACACCCCCCTGATGTAGCCAATCCTCCAAGAGCTTACAGTAGCCCCTGTGAGAAGAGCTCTGTAAGATCTTGGAGGATTGGCTACATTAGGGGTGTGTCACCTCATATGCAAAGGAGTTCCTGCTACAAAAAGAGCCCCCAGGTGACACACCCCTAATGTATCCAATCATCCAAGAGCTTACAGTAGCCCCTGTAAGAAGAGCTCTGTAAGCTCTTGGAGGATTGGCTACATTAGGGGGGGTGTCGCCTAATATGCAAAGGAGCTCCTGCTACAAAAAGAGCCCTGTAAACAATCTCCATAGTAAAATCCATAGAGATTAGGGGAATTCTTAGAGCATTGCAAACACTATGGTACTGTTCCCCCCATATTTGATTCCACTGTTCAGTTTAGTGAGGGAGGCGGCTGGAGCATGCAGGGGGAAGGTAACTCATAGGGTTGCCAGCTCCAGGTTGGGAAATACCTGGAGTTTTCGGGGGGTGGAGTCTGAGGAGGACAGAATTTGGGGGAGGGGAGGGACTTTAATAGGGTATGTTTCCATAGAGCTCAGCTTCCAAAGCAGCAGCTTCCACAGCAGCCATTTTCTTCAAGTGAACTGATCTCTTTTGTCTGGAGATCTGTTGTAACCCCAGGAGATCTCTAGCCACCCCTTGGAACTTGGCAACCCTCATTGCCCACCACAGAGGGGAAACCTGGTAACCCTTATTCTCCCCTTCTACATTTTATCCTCAGAACAACCTTGCAAGGTAGGGTATGAGAGCGGGATGGGCCCAAGAGAAAATTATTGACCCGTCGTCTCCCAAGCCCCAGTCTGACAGATCTGTAGCTCTTGCGGTTCTCTGGAGAGAGGGGATAAATATTGGACCCCTTCAAGCCTGTGGTCTGATCTCTCTCAGGAACTGATTGATATAGCCGCATTGGTCTGAAGCAGCAGAACAAAGTTGGAGTCCAGGGGCACCTTTAAGACAACGAAGTTTTAATTCTGGGCGGGGGTCATTTTGTAGAAATAGAGGTGCAGGAGCTCATTAGCATAACTCATTAGCATAACTTATTTGCATATGCCACACCCCCTGACATCACGGGAAGTGTGTCAGAAAGCAACACCCACCGCTCAGGCTCCACTGGACTGTTTTGGATTGCTAGCTATTGGGGGGAGACGTGCAGATCTGTCCTCACAGAGGAGGGAGAGCTTGTACCTGAATAAAACTTTGTCTTAAATGTGCCACTCTTTTGGACCGGGGCCCAAGAGGGGGGGCTCTGCAACTTACCTGGCTGCTTCTTGCTCTGACTGAAGGCTGCTGGGAGCAGGGGGTGGGGCCTGTTGCATGTGCCCGCCCCCTGGGCTCTTTACTGCCGGAGCTTCGCTCCTGTGCGCTCCTGCAGGAAATGACCCCTGATTCTGGGTATAAGCTTTCGTGTGCATCTGAAGAAGCACGCATGTAGACAAAAACTTGTACCCAGAATAAAACTCTGTAGATCTTAAAGGTGCCACTGGGCTCCAACTTTGTTCTCAAGAACTGCCCGTTCCCTCGCCAGTGTTATCTGACTGCACCCAGCTTAGAAATCTCTTGCTGTGTGCCGAGGCCTGGCTGGCTGACTGTCAATCTGCTTCCCTCTGGACCTCAGGTTTCCCTCTCAGCACTTTATCCATCTGGTTCATCACTTATTGCGGCGTGCAGCTGATCAAGGAGAGAGAGCGCCTCCTGGCCATCCTGGAGGAGAAGGAAGGCAAGGAGAAGGGCGAGTGAAGCGATGGAGAGACGGAAGACCGCTTCCAAGATGGCGGCGGCCGCTCAGTGTCCGAGCAGGCTGGGCAAAGCCCAACCCGCCAAGTACTCCGCCCCCCCTGCCACCAAGCTGTACTGTCAGCCATGCACAAACTCACCTGTTTAATAATATCCTTTTCCCATTTAAATAAAAAGAAATATTTTCTATAAGATGTCAACGCAACCGGCGTGGGTCTGTGTTTCTGTTTCGCACGACGTGTGAAGACATGAAGCTGCCTTGTACTAAATCAGACCATCAGTCAGTATAGTCAGTTTGGTGTCGTGGTGAAGTGCGCGGACTCTAATCTGGGAGAACTGGGTTTGATTCCCCATGCCTCCACTTGCAGCTGCTGGATGACCTTGGGCAAGCCGTAGTTCTGATAAGAGCTGTCCTTGAAAGAGCCATTTCTGTCAAGAGCTCTCTCAGCCCCACCTGCCTCACCGGGTGTCTGTTGTGGGGAGGGGAAGGGAAAGGAGTTTGTAAGCCGCTCTGAGACACCTTTCGGTAGTGAAGGGCGGGGTATGAATCCAATCTCTTCTTCTTCATCCAATCTCCTCCTCCTCCTCTTCTTCTTCTCCTTCACCAGTTTGGTGCAGTGGTTAAGTGTGTGGACTCTAAACTGGGAGGACCGGGTTTGATTCCCCACTCCTCCACTTGCACCTGGCTGGATGACCTTGGGCCAGCCGTAGTTCTGATAAGAGCTGTTATTGAAAAATCAGTTTCTGTCAAGAGCTCTCTCAGCCCCACCTACCTCACAGGATGTCTGTTGTGAGGAGGGGAAGGGAAAGGCGTTTGTAAGCTGCTCTGAGACTCCTTTGGGTAGTGAAGGGCGGGGTGTGAATACAATCTCTTCTTCTTCTTCTTCTTCTTCTTCCCTCTAAGCTAGCTAGCTCACAGTTTTTAGCTTCTGGCTCACACCTCTCAGTTGTGAGGAGGGGAAGGGAAAGGCGTTTGTAAGCTGCTCTGAGACTCCTTTGGGTAGTGAAGGGCGGGGTGTGAATACAATCTCTTCTTCTTCTTCTTCTTCTTCTTCCCTCTAAGCTAGCTAGCTCACAGTTTTTAGCTTCTGGCTCACACATTTTTTGTCTTAGCTCAGGAAGGAGGGCTCCAGAGCAATCTAATTTATGCAGCAGCCAAATCGTTCGCTCACAACTGTAATGCCAGCAGCTCACAAAGTAGAATTTTTCCCTCAAAGACTCCACAGCTTAAGGGAGCATTGGTGGGGGCTACCATAAAAATCCAATGATGAAAGGAAGTGAAACCAGCATGCAGTGCAGAGGGGAATTTCTGTTCCAACGTGGGTTTCGTAAAACAAACGGAAGACAGGGTGAACTTGGAGCCGAATAACAATAGACCAACAGGAATCTGGCCGTAACCAATCAAGGTGTAGGACTGTGCTGCCAGAGACAGGGTGAGCTTGGAGCCAAATAACAATAGACCAACAGGATTCTGGCAGTAACCAATCAAGGTGTATGATGGTGCTGCCAGAGACAGGGTGAGCTTGGAGCCGAATAACAAACAGACCAACAGGATTCTGGCCGTAACCAATCAAGGTGTAGGACGGTGCTGCCAGAGACAGGGCGAGCTTGGAG